TATACTATGTGTTCCGCTTTTACACCTAGGTCTTTGCAGCCGGAGGTTATAATGTCTGTTGTATTTCAACGGAAAATACTGTTCGTATACGTTTTAAAACAGCATTCAGGTATACGGGACGGTATACACTATAACGCGCAACGTTTACCATAGAATACGTGTATTTATCGATGAAAATAATAAAATACATATCGTTCGAATGTTTTTACTACACACGTATAAAATACCGTTACATCTACGTAAATCGAACGGAGACGCGCGTTGTAGTAGGTGCACGTCTTTCTGTTTAGTATTTTTATTACTCACTTGTCGACGATATCGTGTTTTTTAATTAATTTTTCGATATTGATGACTTACCTCCTGAAAACAAACAAATCATTCCACGTTAGACATTTATGCATAAAATAGGTGTGGGCATATCTGTATGAATACATATACATATATATTTATCAGAGACGGTGCATTAATTTTAAATCGTCAACAGGTTTTGACGTCGTTAATTCGAACAGAACGGTAATCGATTCGGGATCGGATGCAGACGGGCACGGCGATCCTGCAACCGCGGTTTACGCGCAGGTTCGTCGTTCTTAAACAGCACCGCGTAACCCATCCCACGATTGGATTCATTGTCTTTCTTATTGCACATCGATCGTCACGCGCGAGCTTCGGCGAGGAATAAAATAATCGCGTCAACGTTTCTGACCGGATCGGGAAAATACGTGAACAAATAACTTTGACGTCGTATCGCAGGTGCGTATACCGGTAGGCGGTCACAGGTCGCATCAGCGGTGACATCTTGAAAAGTACGGGGACCGGTTCCTGTACCAATACGCCCCTGTTGTTCGCTGCCCGTGTACGTGCACGGGAGGCGCATAACCATTAGCATAACGCACTACCACTTCCGTTGTACGCTCGTATCGTGTCGCGGCGAGAAAAATATAAAATTATAAAATTGCATTACTGTTGTTATTGTAATTATTTCGGCCGACGACCATATGTTGTGCGCGTCGACGGTGGTCGGTTGGGCAATCGTTTGGATCGTATTATGATTAAGACCGCCGGGACGGCGCAACCCGTACTGAACTACTCTCAGATATTTGTTTTTTTTTCTTCATGAAAAAGATTTTTCAATTCGCGCGTACGACTTTGTTTTCATTTCGAGTACAACAGTTGCGTTTACATCGCGCGCTATTTAGTCCGATTTAAAACCGATTGATTCGTAGCCTCGAGGATAAAGTTCGAATGACCAAGGAAGTCCTGTCGGGTCTCGAGAATCGAACTGAAATCGAATCATTGGTGGGCTTTTGATCTATCGAGTACAGGTTTAGAGAAAGATCGGTGTACAATTGTTTTTCGAAATTTACATTTTTCGTTTATAAATTATAATATTTCGTGCGCAGAACGCATTCTAAAACGTTATTAGACACGGCCCATAAGCTTGCAGCTTGTTCGTTATTTATTATTTTATCGTTATTATATTAAGTATCTCTCGCGTGAAGTGATAGTGCTGAGTTAGAAAAAGCAACATATTTCTCATATTTTTGAATAATTTTAATAAGTATTAAATATTTATATGAACGTATGGAGTACGGTGATATGATATTATGTTTTGCCGTCCAATTATAAATCTTATTATTATCACAGTTCACTGAGTAAGTGATTAGTGCCGCGTTTCTTGGACAATTATAATATTATGTATTTTGTTGAGAGCGTAACGGCGGCATATTAAGTTTAATCGAATCGTTTATGCGCTATCGGAGAAGCGACGAGAGCAAGCGTACGGTTTTCAGTCGAAAAAAAAAGTTGTTTTTCCTTAATACACAGATTGTCATCGTACAAAAAAAAAAAAACTACCAGTCATAATTATTTACATTTTCAAATACCGACCAAAATTACGTACGTAAACCATTCTATGGGGGCTATATTACTACAACAGACAAAATTAAATTATCATATTCCCAGAAATAATCATAAATAACAGAGGTTTTATTTCGATTCTCGTGTATAAAGACTTTAAATATGCCCGGAGGTTAATCGAATGCGTATTATATCATAATCATTATTTATATTTAAACGAGTTTCTGTTCTTTTGCGATAATATGATATTCACAAGCCGCGATGAATAGGTAAATGTCCACGACCAAATATTCCGAACAAAAAATAACCCGTAGTGTACAATCTCGTACATTGTGTATTCGTAAACAGTTAATTTATGCGTTTCGTAATGGGCGCGACATCGTAGCACCGGCCGTACCTCGATTTCAGATATAGAAACAATGACGACAAACAGTTACCGAGAAAAAATAATATCGTTTGAAATACATACGGACGATTGTTCGTACGAGGTATGAATCATAATCACGTTGAATTCATTGATGGTCCATGGACATGCGTGTATATCAGATGGTGCGTTATGATCGATTTATGCATATTTCACCATCGCGTAGGGGTGTTTGTCGATATGTGACTATCATATAACACTTAAGTTCTATGGCCGTTGCGCGAGCATGCGACCGCAGTCGTCCATATTCGTAACGTTACAACATTGCGTCGTGAAATCCACAAACAAAAAATGTATTACCGCAGCAGTAAATACGGTACAATAAATAGAACGTTTATGTTTTGAAATGTCTACTGATGTTCATAGATCAGGACCGTGCGATACGTACATTATTGTTTTGGAGCTCACGGATGAAACAAACCTATTGAATATTATATGTAACTGTCGTGTACTCCGATCAAATCGTGCATATACTGCTTGATTGGTATTCGCACGAATTAACTCGCTTCGAAACGAACATCCCGTGTGCCGTTTTACGGTGTAACTGCGCGTGCACAATAACGGTCAAGCAGGCCCGTAGCCACGGGGGGGCAAGGGGGGGGGGGGTTTCCCCCCCTATACCCAGTCATTGCCCCCCCCCCCTAAAAATATTAGAAAGATGTTTAGGTAGTTACGTATTTTATTGCTTATAACATTTTCATCGGTAATAGAATAGATCAAAAAAGTTTTTTTAGCCGTATAGTAGTATTTATTTCGGAAATTCCGGGCCATGACGACGATACTGACGTGTCACGACGACTGTTGGCAAATTGATTGCTAACGTTATCGTAATCGTAGCTCAATACTTTCCTATCAATTGACATTTTATTATAGAACACCTAAATATTCTTTCATTTTATCGCCGACTGCAGCAGTACACGTGTGTAAAATATGTTTCATTGTTAATTTATTTTGTAATTCATTGTGTTAATTTAATTAGATGTCAATGTAAATAAATTAAAAATTGCATTAATATTTAATACATTTATATATAATGCCCCCCCAAAAATTTGCTTTGCCCCTCCTGAAAATTTGGTCTGGCTACGGGCCTGCGGTCAAGACGTATATGACGAGAGATATAATATTTTACGTTAGTTTTCATTTCACTTGAAAGCGAAGTAGTCCCGCGAGTGTACACGTAACCGTGATTTCATCCGGTCCTTAACCTATTCATTCATTCAACCATGGTAAAATGTAGATGCTCATATACGTATTATACTGGTTCACCATTTGCGCACGCATGTGTGTATTAAATCGAACTAAGTTACACGTATTATAATGTATTAGGTATTGCGCGACCGCGAAGACTGCGATTCGACGGATATGCTAAAGGGCTCATGCCGCACGTATGTCGATAAATATCAAACCGTTTTTTCGTCATTAAACAATGTGACGGCGATTCGATCATCGTCTAAGTGGATACAGAGTCAAAGGATCGCGTAAGTCCGCGTGTGTTCGTCCGTCCGTGTTTGCGGGGAGGGGGGATCCCTGGGACTTGGCCTGTGGTCGTGAACAAAAGTGCGATTTATCTACCCCATCTCCGGATATTAACATAAGCAGACGATAAAAACCCGAACAGTGCACCCCAAGCACATCGGAGAAATTAGTTCCGAAATTAACGCACACGTACACATACACACACACACTCCTCTAATTGCAGCAGCTATATAGAGTAAGATTTGTCGTAGAGCAGGAAAATGAAAACAACTATACCAGCACGAATTCATTATGCACCCGTTCATTTTGAATAAGACGCGATTGCCGGCCATGTTTGAGCCGTCTATTGTGCAACCCTCGCGAATTCTTCGGCGATGCGCATATCTCCTCCCCTGCGCGCACAGACGTACAATGTACACACCAAATATGTGGCGTCGTACGCGATCGTTTATAAGAATTTGAATCCCCGGTGAGCGAAAAAAAAAAAATAAAACAAAAATTAGCTATTCATTTATTACGACACATTCATAACACCGAACGTATAACGGATAACGCGATGTAGTAAATCGTAATAATATATTATTTGTTTACATACAACAAAAGCGATTTCGCGCACAGCGTATACCACAGTTCACATACCATACCTGCTTGCGCGTTGAACAGTGTGCTTCATTTACGTGTAATTAGTTCCACTAGATTAATAACACGTCCGCGTACTTATATTAGGTATTATATGATTAAATATGTACTCTCGGCCGGCAAACGACCTTAACGGCTGCGGCGTTGACTGGTTCTTGGATGCCGCGCAGGATTGTATGTTTTATAATTTTCGTTTCGAACGGTTATCCGTGGGAAATGTGTGTACAGAGCGCGAGATCTAATGATGTTCGTTAGGGAAGGAAATAACGAACTAAACGAGGATCAGGTATACGCCGGTATAATGTAACGAAAACGGAAAAGAAATTGAAAGAGTTAAAAAAAAAAAGGAAAAGAATTACAAAAAAAACACAGTTTTCAAATATGCACGTAAATGACGTACACTACTATATTGCAATGCACCGGGTACAATATGGTGGTAGTGCACAATCGACGACCGGAAAAAAACTGACAGCCGTAAAAAAACAAACAAACAAAACGTTCACGTTTTTTCTTTTTTTTTCCCTCTTGCCCGATGCCCACCACCAAAAACGAGAGTAAAACCGAACAACCCTTTCGGTCAGAAGTAAATGGCATCAGGGCCAGTCGTTCACGTGTCCGCGCTGTCGCCTGTGAAGATGACCCCGCACGCGAGCCTCGACGACGGCGCGTATCCTGCGAAGGTCGAGGACATTCCTGGACGCCCGTGACTGTCAACCACGCAACGTCGAACCGTGTTTAATATTATATGATGACCACTGGCGACGGCCTTCCGATGCGCCAGGACGCAGAGAACGTATTGTACGAGTAAGTCGTGTTATTTATTATTTGGAACGTCCGGCGCGATATAACCGTACACATATGTGTATGTATAATACACATTATTATATACACTGTATATAAATAATTACATACGTTCATATAGATAATTAATGTTTTCGGGATGGGGTACGAGTGTTCTCTCTAATGGGAATACGAGTTTCTATAATGGAAATGACTATATTTTCGTTGATTATATCTACCCGGAGATCACCGATTCTGCAGTGACAGTCCGTTTTGTTTATATTTATACGCGTGTAATCAATTTCGAGTCTTATCTGGTAGAATACTCAACATGCGCGCGTACACCAACAACCGTATATTATATATATAAAAAAAAAAAATACCAAACTAGTTTTATCGTGTAAAATCGAAAACGTCCGTACGCATCGACAGCGATAAATTTGCATTTATGTTTCGATTTCCGATATTATTACACGTTATAGGTATACGGGTGTTCACGTGGCCTGTCAGAATCGAATTTACGGTTATGAACTCTTGCGCAGTATAAACCCGTACACGCGATCGAAATATTAACATTTATAGAACTGACCGGCGTAAGCGTATAGTAGACAAATGCATTGAGCGTACACGCGTAAATAGTATACATAACGATGTTGGTGACGTTTTCATTATGCCTAGGGAATATATAAATGGAAATACGGCAAACAAATACATGTGAACGTTCGAAACCGAGGATAAAAACCAATCAGAATTGTTTCAGTCAATACGTGACACATGTATTCTAGCCATAGGGTACAAACGTTTTCACCATATGAATAC